GGCCCCGCGGCTCCGTGCCGGGGCTGGGCCGCGGGTGAGGCCGGCGGGCAGGGCCAGGCGGGGACCAGGGCTGGGGCGCGGGGCCGAGGGCCGAGGGCCGGGCCCCGGGGACGAGGGCCGGGGGCCGGGGCCCGGGGCCCGCTGTGTCTGAGGGTGACGTCACTTTGTGACAGCGCGGTCCGCAGAGTGAGCATCCGGGATGTGCTCGTCCCTGGACGCCGCAGGGTCAGGGTAGCGGCCCGGGGCCGGGCAGAGTTGGCACCTTGGTTTCCGTGGCCGCGGGGTCTGCGGACAGGGCGTCCTAGGACGAGCGGTGAGCCTGGGTCAGCCGGGCCTGGGGGGTGTCCGCCTGGCCCTGCCGCCCCTGCTCGCAGCCCGGGTTCTGTGGGCTCTGCCGTGGGCCAGGGCGCCGAGGCCGCTGCCCTGCAGAGGAGACTCGCCTCTGTGGCCAGGCCATACCTGGGGAGAGCAGCCCTGCCCGGCACCCCCTTCCCTGTATCCGGCACTGTACCAGCCTGTTGGGTTGGAGTCTCAGACCCCCAGGCTTGAACCTCACGCGGGCTGTGCGAGTGCATGCCCGAAATCCGGACAGAGACTGGAGGGGAAGGGGTTGCTGCATGGCCATCCCCCCTGGGGTGATTTTTTTCTGTCTCTGTCTCTCTGGTGAGCACATGTGCCCTATAGAAAAAATCTAAATAAAAAGCTGCAGGTGGCCACAGGGGCCTGGGATGAAATTGGAGAGGAAATGCCCTTCAGAGTGCCCTGGTCAGGAGCTGCATTTGGGGAGGAGCCAGCGGGCTCCTCCTGAAGGGGAATGGCTGTGCTGGGCATCTTGTGGGAGGGATTTTTTTTTTTTTGGAGAGGTTTTCGCTATAGGGCGCGTGCGCTCACCAGACAGACAGAGAGAGACAGAAAGTGAGAAATCACCCCCCGGGGGGATGGTCACGCCGGAATCCCTTCTCCATTCTCCTCTCGGGATCTTGGGCATGCACGCACACGTGCCCAGCGCGAGGTTAAGCCACCGGGTCCGGGACGCGAACCGTGGTCGACTACGTGGGAGTCCAGCGACATAGCCATTACACTAACTGCTGGTTCCCTGGGGAGGGATTTTGTAGGAGACTCAGTAGTACCTGGGGGCTGATAGGCTGGAGAGGGCCGGAGGGCAGCAGAGCCAATGTCACAGTGCTGGTCGTGGGGGCCGGGACAGCCGCGGTTAGCAGCAAAAACAGCCCAGGGTGTCCTTGTGGGCACCGGGGAGTGCAGCATGGCGAGTGCATTGTGGCCCGGGTTTGAGGGCCTGGCTGGAGGCGGGCGGATGATTGACAGTTTGTAAGAGGCTCAGAGGGAGGGCGGCTGAGGCTCCGGCAGTTCTGTGGAGGAGAAATGGAGAAGCCTGGGCCGGAGACGGATGGCCTTGGTGGCCTCAGCAGTGTGTCCTGGTTCACTGCCGCCGGGTCGTCAGACGTCTCCTGGAGGTGTAGAAATGTCTTGAAGGATGTGAGGGTGGAGAGAGCACAGGAGCAGGACCCTAGATAACCCCATCTCGGTCCCACAGCGCAACTGGCTTCACCACCCGGTCGGACATTGGGCCTGCCCGGGACGCCAACGACCCTGTGGACGACCGCCATGCGCCGCCAGGGAAGAGGACCGTGGGTGACCAGATGAAGAAGAACCAGGCTGCTGATGACGACGACGAGGACCTGAATGACACCAACTATGACGAGGTGACTGCTCCGGGCCGTGGAGCCCCAGGAGGCCCAGCTTCCTCACCTGATGGGCTGTTGGCATGTGTGCTGGGCGGCTTGACATGGCTGCTGCATTCGATATTGTAACTGTTCGTAGACCATCTTTGGCAGAGTGTGAGGCGTCCGCTAAAGGTCTGCAAAAAACCGAACCAAAAAAGTTAAAAGACGTTCTCATGTACTTGTCACTTACCTTTGCACAGCTGTCGAGACTAGGAAGTGAGCAGATGTGTTGCTGCTGGCTGGCTGAGCCCGGTGCTGCTGGCTGAGTGAGCGTGTTGCTGCTGGCTGACTGAGTGCGGTGCTGCCGGCTAACTGAGCCCGGTGCTGCTGGCTGAGCGAGCGTGTTGCTGCTAGCTGACTGAGCGCAGTGCTGCTGGCTGACTGAGCGCAGTGCTGCTGGCTGACTGAGTGCAGTGGTTCTGGCTGAGCACAGTGCTGCTGACAGCCCGGTATTCACAGGTGGCCTCTGGCTCAGCCCAGTCCCAACTCCTGTGTGTGCTGGCCGTCTCCTCCTCCTGTTGGGATGGTTCCTCTGTCATTCATGTCCTTGATGTGCCCTTGACGTTTGAAGAATATTGAGCAGTTAGGTTGTAGACTGTTCCTCAGGTTGGGTTTGTGTGATTGAAAAAAATAATTTAGCGAGTGTTTTAAAACTGCAGTTACTTGGGGTCGGCAGGTGGTGTGGTGGTTAAGAGTACTAGACTCCCACATGGCCGACCTCACTTTCTCTCTCTCACTCTCATTCTGTCCTCTGGTCAAATGAAAGATAAATAGATAAAGTTAAGTAAAAATAACTTTTAAAAAGAAACAAAAACAAAACTGCAGTTAGTAGACCAGCAGGTAGTGTGGAGGTTAAGGCTCTGTGTCACACACGTGGCCAACTGCGTGGTTTGAGCAGCTGGACCTGGCAGCTTGAAAACATGCCAGTGCGTGTACACGCATGCCCAGACCCCCAAGAGGAGAGTGGAGGAGAGGAGACCGCAGTGTGACTGTCCCCCAGGGGGTGATTTCTTTCTTTCTCTGCCTCCAGTGAGCACCCATCCTGCAGCTGGGGTGGGGCAGGATGACTAAAAAAGACAAAAACTAGGGACCGGCAGTTGGCATAATGGCTGTGTCGCTGAATTCCCACGTAGTCGGCTGCAGTTCGAGTCTTGCACCCGGTGGCTTAAACTCACGCTAGGCGCGTGTGCGTGCGTGCCCAAGATCCCGAGAGGAGAATGGAGGAGAAGGGATTGCTGCGTGGCCATCCCCCCTGGGGGATGATTTCTTGCTTTCTGTCTCTCTGTCTCTGTCTGTCTTTCTGGCAAGCACATGCGCCCTATAGCAAAAACCTCTCCAAAAAAAAGAAAAAAAAAAGACAAAAGCTAGAGGTGGTGGGGCCCACAGGTGGCGTAGTGGTTAAGGACAGTGGACTCACACATGGCCGACCACAGTTCGAGTCCTTGACATGGCAGCTTGCTCTCTCACTTTTTTCCTTTTAATTTTATTTTTTCATTCATTAATTTTATTCTGACCACACACACACACACACGCACAGAGAGAGAGAAAGTGAGAAAGCAAGTCACTAGACCCAGGACTCCAACCATGGTTGGCCATGTGGGAATGTCCAGCACCTTAACCATCATGCTACGTGCTGGTCCCACTTTCTTAATTTCTTTCTCTTGCTTTTTCTCTGTTCCTCTCTGGTCAAATTTAAATAAATAATTGAAATTAAAATAAAATATTTATTTATTTTTTTTTTAGAGGTTTTTGCTGTAGGAGACCTGCACTCACACGAAAGAGAGAGAGACAGAAAGCGAGAAATCACACCCCAGGGGGGAGGCCATGCCATAGTCCCTTCTCCTTCAATCTCCTCTCGGGATCTTGGGCACGCATGCACATGTGTCCAGTGTGAGTTTAAGCCACCGGGTCTGGGACTTGAACCGTGGTCAACTGCATGGGAGTCCAGAGACATAGCCATGACACCATCTGCTGGTCCCACTAAAATAATTATTTGAAAGAAAACAAAAACACTAGAAATGTTTTCTGCTCGTGCTGGGTGACGTGTTGGGAGGAGAGCCAGCTCTCTAAGCACGCTGTCTGTCCTCAGTTTAACGGCTATGCAGGCAGCCTCTTCTCCAGCGGGCCCTACGAGAAGGACGATGAGGAGGCGGATGCCATCTACGCTGCGCTGGACAAGAGGATGGACGAAAGAAGAAAAGAAAGACGGTAAAGCAGGCTTTCCCTTCACACCATGTTTATGCAACTTTTGTTTTTAAGGATTATTTATTTAATTTTGTTTATTTATTCATTTTTATTTTAATTTAACCAGAGAGAGACATGAGGGGGAATTGGGAAAGCAAACCACCAGGTTTAGGACTCGAACTGTCATCGGCCATGTGGGAGTGTCCAGCGCCTTATCCACCGTGCTGCATGCCGGCCTCCTGTCCGGTCTTGTTTTAACTGCTGAAGCAAGCAGTACTTGCCCGAGAGAGGGAGAGAGAGATTACCTCCAAGAGGGTGTGGCCACCTTGCGGCTCCTTCTCCTCTACCACTCCACTGGTTTCATTGTCAGGGAGGGAAAGGGGAGTGAGAGAGACAGACGCTACAGGGGGTCTGGACGCTGCAGCTTGGTGGCTTCCGAAGCCGTAGACACACGTTCAGATGGAAGGGTTTATGTCCAGGGAGGCGGCTGGTCTCGGTCTTGGTGTGTCCTGCATGTTCTGTCTGCCAGGGAGCTGAGCCGTAGATCCGCGGCCGTGGCCGTAGTTGGAGTACGTGGGGGGTGGTCTCCACGATGCTGCTCCCACACCGTGACTGGCCGTGTACACGTGGGCTGGAAGTCCGTGGGTCGCAGCCTGACCAGGCCCGTGGGGGTGCTCATTTCCCCTCTTGGGGTTGGCTCAGGCGCTATCATTAATAAAGGAGAAAACAGGTGCAGGGTCCTTAAAAACAATAGAAAATGGAGTTAAGGTTTAAGTTGAATTTGGCGCAGAAATATTTAGAACCCCGTGTAGTTTTCTTGTTTGTATTTCCACGAACTTTTTGAACACTCCCCTCTAGTTTGATTGGCTGCGGAGTGTGGACTCGTCCTCTCCAGTGTCGACTGAGGTGTGTAGTGAAGCAGCTGTGTGGACATCAGGGTCCCTCACACACACTTTTATCTTCTAGGGAGCAGAGAGAGAAAGAAGAGATCGAGAGATACCGTATGGAGCGCCCCAAGATCCAGCAGCAGTTCTCAGACCTCAAAGTGAGTGGGAGGGTGGGAGCGCTGCGGTGGAGAGGCCTGGCCACCTGGCTCTTCGCTCAGCTGGGGGGAACCCAGGGAGGGCTTTGCGTCTGGACGTTTGTTTATGTGAGTGTGCGAATCCTCTTTTGCCCCATCTTAAAAAGTCGAACAGGGCCAGCAGATGGCTTGGTGGTTAAGGTGCTGGATCCCAGATGGATGACTGTGCGGTTTGAGTCCCAGACCTGGCGGTTTGAAAAGCACTCTGGGCACGTGTGTGTGTGTGCATGCATGTGTGCGCACGCACACGCGTGCGCACCCAAGAATCCCAAGAAGAGAAGGCATCGCAGCTTGCCCTCTACCCTGGCCTCTCACTTTCTCTCTCTCTGTCTCTCTCTTCAGCAAGCACATGCACCCTAAGGCAAAAAAACTGAAAAGTGGGGGCCACTAGATGGCACAGAGGTTGAGGTGGTTGGATTCCACACGGCGAGTGGTTCAAGTCCTGGACCCGGCAGCTTAAGTTCACGCCAGGCACATGTGCATGTCAAAAAACTCAAGAGACTAGAGAAGCAGGGGTTGCTTCATGGCCGTCTCCCTTGGGGGTGACTGGTCGTTTTCCCCCTCTCCAGTGAGCACACGTGCTCTATGGCAGACTGAAATAAAGTCTGGCATGGCCACCCTGGAGGCGGTTCTCGCTTTCTGTCTGTCTCTTGGGCAAGCACATGGGCCCTATAGCAAAAATCTCTCTTAAAGAAAAAAAGTCTAGATGGGCATCAGGCGGCTTGGCTCCAGGTGAGCTTTCTGTGCTCTGGGGCCGGCAGGTGGTATAGCGATTGAGCCATTGGACTTCCTTATGGCTGACTGTGGTTCAAGTCCTGGACCTGCTGGCTTGAAACTCATGCTGGGTGCGTGTGTGTGCATGCGTGTATACATATGTGTCCAAGATCCCAGGAGCAGACTAGAGGAGAAGGAATTGCACATGGCTATCCCCTGGGGTGACCTCGTTTCCCAGCTCTGCCTCTCGCCCCTTAGTGAGCACACATGCCCTAAGGCAAAAGCCTCTAAAACATAAATGAGTAAAACCGTTTTCTCTTTTTAAGATTATTTTATTTAACTTTTTATTTATTTATTTTAATTTGACAAGAGAGGGACAGAGAGAGAAAGTGAGAAAGCAAGCTGCCAGGCCCAGGCCTCCAACCACTGTTGGCCACGTGGGAGTCCAGTGCCCTTAACCATTATGCCACCTATCAGCCTAAGTAAAACTATGTTTCACTTATTTATAAGTAAATAAGTAAAAGGAGGAGAAGGAGTATGAAGGAGAAGGGATTGCGGTGTGGCCATCCCCCAGGGGGGTGATTTCTCACTTTCCTGTTATCTCTCCAGTGAGTACACTCACCTATAGCAAAACTCTTCACAGACATTGGGACCAGCAGTTGGCATAATGGCTATGTCGATGAACTCCCATGTAGTCGACTGTGGTTTGAGTCCCAGACCCAGTGGCTTAAACTCACGCCAGGCGCGTGTGCGTGCGTGCCCAAGATCCCAAGAGGAGACTGGAGGAGAAGGGATTGTGGCGTGGCCATCGCCCCTGGGGGGTGATTTCTTGCTTTCTGTCTTTCTGTTTCTCTCTGTCTTTCTGGTGAGTGCACGCATCCTATAGCAAAGAAAAAAAAAAAGTAAAACAAACATTAAAAGGGGGTGGGGGGCAGTTAGCATAATGACTGTGTTGCTAGACTCCCATGTAGTTGACCATGGTTCAGGTTCTGGACCTGGTGACTTAAAACTCACGCCGGGCGCGTGTGCGTGCGTGCCCAAGATCCCAAGAGGAGACTGGAGGAGAAGGGATTGTGGCGTGGCCATCGCCCCTGGGGGGTGATTTCTTGCTTACTGTCTCTCTGTCTCTCTTTTTCTGGTGAGTGCACGCGCCCTATAGCGAAAACCTCTCCAAAACCAAAACTAGAACCAACGTCTGCTAGAGCATGGCTGTGCTCAACAGAGACGGACCGCAGTGTGGGGAGTGAGAAGCCCCTAGAGGAGGGCCACGCTGCAGCCCTCCTGTGCAGTTCCTCTGAGGCTTGGGGGCACATACATGCGCCTGGCGTGTCTTCCACGCTGTCAGGTCTGGGACTCAGTGCACCTTTAGCCATGTGGCATCTAGCCGCTTTAACCACCACACCACTGCTGGCCGCATAAATAGTTTTCTCCAGAGGCCGGCAGGTGGCATGGTGGTTAAGGGTGCTGGACTCCCACGTGGCCGACCAAGGTTCGAGTCCCAGACCTGGCGGCTGGCTTTCTCACTTTCCCTCCCTCTCTCTCTCTCTCTCAACTCGCTCTGTCCCTCTCTGGTGAAATTTTAAAAACTATATAAATAAAGTTAAGTAAAATCATTCTTTAAGAAGAAACTAGCTTTCTCCAAGTGAGGTAGAAAACCATTTTTGCATCAAAATGCTTTCTGAGGCCTGGTGTCTGGAGGCTGGCGGTGAGGCAGAGGGTGGTCCTGGCTGGGCCTGCAGGGTTTGCCCAGGCACTCATGTTGGGGGCTGGGTGTTCCCAGAGGAAGTTGGCAGAAGTCACAGAAGAAGAGTGGCTGAGCATCCCGGAGGTCGGCGATGCCAGAAACAAGCGGCAGCGAAACCCCCGCTATGAGAAGCTGACTCCCGTCCCTGACAGTTTCTTTGCCAAACATTTACAAACAGGAGAGAGCCATACTTCAGTGGATCCCCGACAAACGGTGAGCAGCCAGAGGCAGACGGGCTCCCTCAGTCTGGTCGGACCGGGCAGCGGTGGGCGTGGAGGGTGGTGTTGGGCTCTCCGCAGCCTCGGGGCAAGCTGTTGGGAGTCTGGCTACACAGCTCTGTGTGTCAGGCCCCAGAGGGAGGACTGCGGGAAAGCGAAGCACTAGAGCATGGACGGTGAGCCAGCATCTTCCTGTCCTTCCTCAGCAATTCGGAGGTCTTAACACGCCCTACCCGGGTGGACTGAGCACACCCTACCCTGGCGGCATGACGCCTGGGTTGATGACGCCCGGCACGGGGGAGCTGGACATGAGGAAGATCGGCCAGGCCAGGAACACGCTGATGGACATGAGGCTGAGCCAGGTGGGGGCCGGCTTGCACACAGCATTTCCCACAATGCCTGTGGCTTTTGTTCTTTGACCCTAAAATAACACATACTTGGTGAGTAGAAACTAACACCCTCGGCTCAGGAACCTGGATGGCTGTCCTCGGTAAGTGCTTTGTCATGAGATAAGCAGGCCTATGGCAGTGTGGGAGTTCCTGTTCTCGGGGCCAGCAGGTGGTGTGGTGGTTAAGGTGCTGGACACTCCCACATGGCTGACCCATGGTTCAAGTCCTGGACCTGGCAGCTTGCTTTCTCACTTTCCCTCTCTCTCTCTCGTTTCTCTCTGGTCAAATTAAAATAAATGAATGAATAAATAAAATAATTCTTAAAAAAAAAAAAAAAAAAAGAGTTCCTATTCCCTGCAGTAGGGATCTGGAGCTCTGCATGCAGCCGGGCCCTGGCCTCGTGGGTGTGTGTGTGCAGCACATGCAGCCTGCCTGTCAGGTGAGGACATCTGTGTCGGCCGTGTGCTCCCGTTGGTGCCCCACTCTGTGTCTGATTAGATATGTCTCCTTCCTGCACCCAGAAGTCGTCACGCGGACCTGGGAGAGCACCCACTCTGCTCCGGGGTGTGGGTGTGCTCGAACCAGGAAATGGGTCGTCCTTCCTGGCCCTGTCTAACACGCAGGTCAGAGGCCACAAAGGAGGGTGGTATGGGTCTGCTGACTTAGAAGCCAGAAGTGTCCACATGGAGGAAAACTGTAGTCGGAAGGGCTGCCTGGGAGGGGGTGTGGTTTTCCTTCGAGTCCTTAACCACCAAGCCACCTGCTGGTCCCGCCCCCTCGTTTTTTAAAAAAAAGTAGGTTTTTTCCATAAGTAGGAGAAAGAGATTGGTGGCGTGGTATTTAAGGACACTGGACTCCCATATGGCTGACCATGGTTCAAGTCCTGGACCTGGCAGCTTCTCTCTCTCGCTCTGTCCCTCTCTGGTCAAATGAAAAATAAACACACAAATAAAACAGAACAAATAAAAGTTAAAATAAAAAATAATTCTTAAATTTTAAGAATTAATTTTATTTATTCATTCATTTCAATTTTACCAGAGAGAGAGAGAGAGAAAGCAAGCAAGCCACCAGGTCCAGGGCTCGAACCATGGTCAGCCATGGGGGAGTGTCCAGCACCTTAGCCACCATGCCACCTGCTGATCTCTGAAAATAAAATAATTCTTTAAAGAGAGAGAGAGAGACTGCCCCGGTGGTCCCGATGCTTTCCCTGCCACTGCAGCCCAGCGTCACGCCCACGTACAGGGTCCCCTGCAGAGGGGTCCAGACTGACCCCTACAGGTAGGCCTCGCAGGCTTTGGCTCTCTGCTGAGCCCCTGTCTTTCCCCAGGGTTTTGTTTTAAAACATGCACCTTGGGGGACCAGCAGTTGGCGTAATGGCTATGTCTCTGGACTCCCACGTAGTCGACCGCGGTTTGTGTCCCGGACCCGGTGGCTTAAAACTCATGCCGGGCGCGTGTGTGTGTGCGTGCCCAAGATCCCGAGAGGAGAATGGAGAAGAAGGGATTGCGGCATGAACATCCCCCGGGGGGGGGGATTTCTCGCTTTCTGTGTCTGTCTGGCGAGCGCCTTTCTTTGTCTTGCTAGCGAGCGCACACGCCCTATAGCAAAAGCCTCAAAAAAAAAAAAAAATGTACCTTGGGGCTGGCAGGTGGCATGGTGGTTGGGGGCGCTGGACTCCCCTATTGCTGACCATGGTTCCAAGTCCTGGACCTGGTGGCTTCCTTTCTCACTTTACCTCTCTTTCGCTGTCTCTCTCTCTGGTTAAATAAAAATAAATAAAGTTAAATGAGATAATTCTTTTTAAAAAATTAAGAGAAAGAGATAATTCTTTAAAAGAAACTTTAATAAAAGTTCTAAAAATCAGCACGCACCTCTTGGGGACCAGCAGATGGTGTCATGGCCGCATCGCTAGACTCCCACGGAGTCATCACGGTTTGAGTCCCGGGCTCAGCTGCTTAAGACTCAACATCAGGCATGTGTGCGTGCCCACCAAGATCCTTAGAGGAAAATGGAGAAGGGATTGTGGCATGGCCATCCCTCCTGGAGGGTGATTTCTCGTTTTCTGTCTCTGTCTCTTCAGCCAAGTGCATGTACCCTATAGCAAAAATCTCTATAAAACAAAAAAATTGGGGCCCCCAGGTGACATGGTGGTTAAGGCGGCTGGACCCCCAAATGGCTGATCATGGTTCGAGTCTCAGACCTGGCAGCTTGCTTTCTCACTTTCCTTCTCTCTCTGGTCAATTTCAATAAAATAAATAAATAAAATAATCACAGTGAATAAAATGAAATAAAAATTCTTAAAAAAGAGTAATTAAAAAAGTGGAATACATACCTCTTGGCCAGCAGGTAGTGTGGTAAAGATACTGGACTCCCACGTGGCCACCCGTGGTCCAAGTCCCAGACCTGGTGGTTTGCTTTCTCACTTTCCCTGTCTGTCTCTCTTTCTATCTTTCTTTGGTCAAAATAATAAAACAATAATAATAATAAATAATTCTTTTTAAAAGTACCTCTTTTCTTCATAGAAGAAATTTGCTTATTATCACCACAGACCGTGGTTGTTTTGAATTAAGGATGCCTTCTTTGCTTTCCTCCAGACTGCCCACTGGCAGGGCTCTGGGGAATGGCTCAGGGCCCTGAATACTTAGTGTGGGCAGTCCCGTCACACCCACCTGACGCTCAGCTTGGCCTCTCACAGGTGTCTGACTCGGTGAGTGGACAGACGGTGGTGGACCCCAAAGGCTATCTGACGGATTTGAACTCTATGATCCCAACACACGGAGGGGACATCAAGTGAGTGCTTTGCAGAACTGGCTGGTGGGTTGGGGTGGGAACTGCTTTTGCCTGGGATGTTCTGGCTTGTATTTGGAACGTACGCCGTAGGAGTGATGATACCGCGAGACAGGCTCAGAAATGTGTAGAGGCGTTCTGTTCTCCATGTAAGACACATCCACTGCTCATGTAAACGCCCACGTGTCAGTCCCCGGGCCGCCTCTGTAGAGCTGGCACTCCACCGGCCTCTCGTGTCCCGCACACCCTGTGGACCCCGGTGCCCAGGACGTGTTTGCAGCAGTGCTGAGCTGGCCAGGTGGTACTGGCAGGAGTTCCGAGTTGCTTTTGGTCCCTTGGTGCAGCAGAGGGGGCAGTTTGCACACGGTGCGCCTCCTCCTTGGGTCCGAGCACACCGCTGGCATTCTGCTCTCGTAGTGACATTAAGAAGGCACGGCTGCTCCTCAAATCTGTCCGGGAAACAAACCCCCATCACCCTCCAGCCTGGATTGCCTCAGCCCGCCTGGAAGAAGTCACTGGGAAGCTGCAGGTCGCTCGGAATCTCATCATGAAGGGGACGGAGATGTGCCCCAAGGTGAGGCATCTCCTAGAGACAGGCAGGCGCCTCTGAGTGCAGACTCAAGTTGAAGCACATCCATTCACCACTTGGCATTGAAATCGGGTCGTAGGACATGCCAGACGAGCATGCGAGAGGGGGGAGAGGGCTGTTTTCTGGTGCATTCACGTGGAGTGTTAGTTTAATGGCAGGCAGGCTTAGCTGAGAAGAGCCAAGCTGGTCCTGACTGAGAAAGCGCAAGGTTGGGGCTGACTCTTAGGAACTGTTGCAGCACTCTGGGGGTACAGCGATTAGACTAGCCTCAAAAAATGTGAGGCCCTTGAAGTGCTCAAGCGCTCCGCCGTGCAGGCAGGTTCCCAGAGGTGGGGAGGTGCGACAAAGGCCCTGGGCGTCAGGATGGAGCAGAGTGCCCGGCAGGGGCCAGCGCCTGTGCCTGTGGAGCGGTCCTGCGGGTACGCCCCTCCAGCACAGCGCCGCTGGCTCCCAGGCACTGCCATGCGGGCGCTGTGGCGCGAGTGCCTGCTCCCGGCTGGGCCGCCCCATCGTGGCACTGATCTGCACACGTGTTCACTGCACCCCTCGGCCCCACAGAGCGAAGACGTCTGGCTGGAAGCAGCCCGGTTGCAGCCCGGCGACACGGCCAAGGCTGTGGTGGCCCAGGCTGTCCGTCATCTGCCACAGTCTGTCAGGGTTTACATCCGAGCAGCCGAGCTGGAGACGGACACTCGTGCAAAGAAGCGGGTTCTTCGGAAAGGTGAGTTGCCTGGAGGTGCTCGTCAGCTGGCCGGTGCTGGGACACTGTCCCCTGAAGGAAGTGCCACTTTCTTTTTTGGGGGTTGAGGGGGAAGATTCTTGCCATAGGTGCTCATGCTTGCCAGAGGCACAGAAATCACCCTTGGAGGGGATGCCACACTGTAGTCCCTTCTCCATCCTCCTCAGGATTTGGGCACACACACCTGGCAGGGAGTTCAAGCCACCAGGACAGGTACTCGAGCTGTGGTCAGCCATGGGGGAGTCCAGTGCCACAACCAGTGTGCCACCTCCTGGTGACCCCAGAAGTGTCACTTTGTTTTTTAAAAAGTGTTTTTTTGGGACCAGCAGTTAGCGTAATGGCTGTTGCTGGACTCCCATGTAGTCAGCTGTGGTTCAAGTCCCGGACCCGGTGGCTTAAACTCATGCCGGGCGTGTGTGCGTGCGTGCCCAAGATCCTGAGAGGAAAATGGAGGAGAAGGGATTATGGCGTGGCCATCCCCCCTGGGGTGCGATTTCTCACTTTCTGTCTCTCTGTCTCTCTCTGTCCTTCTGGCGAGCGCACACACCCTATAGCGAAAACCTCTCAAAAGAAAAAAAAGTGCTTTTTTTTTTTTTTTTTAGTTCCTTTTGCTAATCATCGGAAGGTAGGTGCTCTTGCCAGGGAAGGCACCTTCTCAGGGGTTGGTCGTCCCACAGTCTCTTCGTCCGCTTCTCTGTTCTGTCAGGATTTGGGGCATGCATGCCTATGTGTTTTCCATCTGTTGGAGCTGGGATTTGAACCCGGTTAGTCATGTTGGGGCTGGCCCCCAGTGCCCAGTGGCTGCTTGTCTGCCACGCTCGAGTAGCTGCCTGCTCCCTGGCCTGGGCTTGCGGTGAGATACGGAAGGCCTAGCCCTGCTTCTTCCAGCTCTGACTGAGCGAGTTGGGACGTGCTCTGCTATCAGGACGAGACTGTCCCCGGTTCCAAGCTTGCCTCAGGGCTCTGGAGGGCCAAGAGGACCTGTGTGCAGGTGCCTCTGCCAGCGTCGGCACAGAGCGCGCCCTGCTGGGGGTCATCTGCCCTCTGTCCCTCTGCTGTGGCGTGTGCCTGCTGAGTCCACTTGTCTCCGGTCTGAGCCGAGGGTGGCCGCAGCTGTGCTGCCAAGGGCTGAGCAGCCCCAGCTGACTGGGTCACACCCGTGGCTCCTGGTGGGCAGCGTGTACTGTCCGCTTGTGGTCAGCTGGGGTGGTCTCCTGCAGGGAGACTGAGTCTATCCAGGGCTCACTGCCAAGGGAGAGGTGTTTTTTTTTTTTTTTTAAGATTTTTGCCGTAGGGTATAGGCGCCTGCTGGAGAGAAGGAGGATGAGAAATCACCCTCCCAGGGGCCATGGCTGTGCCACAATCCCTTCCCCTTCATTCTCCTCTCAGGTTTTGGGCATGCATGCGCACACTGGTGTGATTTTCAAACCTCCTGGCTGGGACTTGAGCCACAGTTGGCCATGTGGGAGTCCAGTGCCTTAACCACCATGCCACCTGCTTCTGTGAGGGGTTTCTCTTTTTTGCTGTGGAGTTTATGAACGGGGCAGTGTCTCTCCCTGCAACTGTGCAGCAGATGCCGCCTTGACCTTTGCTCCAGAGCAGGTACCATCTGGGGGTGCTCTGGAGTGCACCTCCGCAGGTGGTGGAGTCTACCTGTGTCTGTGGGCTTGGTAGTACGGCCTTTGTGGGTCAGCTTTCAGTGAGAGCTCTCCGGCTCCTGTGTTTTAGACCCATGTATGTGGTGTGTCACTGAGCCGAGTACCTCGGGCCGGTTGCTGACAGTTGAGGTGCACAGGTGAGGGGTTACTGGTGGACAGCTCCTGGTCAGCTGTTAACCACAGGCAGGCGAAGTCTGCTCACCTGTAACCTGTGCTCTCCGGTGCATCCTCACGTGTGTGCGCGCATGCGTGTGCTTGTGTGCATTGTGGTGTATCCTGTCAGGTCTGGCTTCGTTGCAGCCAGGCCTCTTGTTGGCGAGGCCAGGAGCAGAAAGCTGGCACCTGTCTCGTCTGTAGAAAGCTCCTACTTCAGCTGCCGAGAAGCGCATCAGGCGCTGGGCGATTACCGTTATTTATTTAGAGAAGCTCTCCCGGAGTCCCCCTGCCATGTGTGATGGATGGCTGTGAATGTCCTTGCCGCCACGCCTCCCTGCTGTCCTCCAGACTGCCTGCTTCCTTCCCAGCTGGCTGCTGATCTGGCCGGGAGCAGGCTTGCCCGGGGCTGTGCGGGTGGGGGGAGCGCATTCCGAGCCTGCACTGGCCTGGGAAGCAGCTCCTGGCTCCACTCAGGCAGAGACGCTGCTTGAAGGTGGGAAGAGCTTCAGGTCGCCAGCTGGCCTCCGCCACCACTCCCACTGCCCCCAGCCCCGTCCTGGCCTACCCCGTGTCCCCACATGGCCTTTCCTTATGGGTGCCGGGGACACGGCCTGGACCTCTCTTGTTCGTTGGTGAACACGAGGGATCTGTTGCTGGAGGGCGAGATTTCCACTGTCTCCTCCACGAGCGAAGGTCTCCACCACGACCAGCTCTCGTGGCCCGGCAGGCGTGTCAGTGCGACCTCTGGGTTGCAGGTGGGCAGGCCTGCTGTCCTAGCCCTTTGTTGGGAAGAACACGGTCCCGGGTGTGGGACTGAGGCCTTAAGAGCTAGGTGGGTGTGAGGCTTGGCTCTGGCGGCAGCGTCGGCCTGCAGGGGGCAGCTTCCTTGTTGGAGCAGTGACAGGCAGAGGCTTGGAAGTACCAGCCCCTGGCTGCTGCCCGTTGGCCCTCGAGGTCACAGCGCCAAGTTACAGCACCATGGTGCCCGGAGTCCCGACCCTGCCAGTCCGCACAGGCATTGGAGACGTGGCAGTGGAGTGACTGCCCGCGAACTGCCCAGTCCGTAAAGCAGGGCCGCCTCTGGTGGCTGTAGCAGGTCCCTCAGAGCACAGGGCAGATTCAGCTCCACCGGAACATTCTGGGCCTTTGCGGTTCCAGGTTCGCAGCTGGGAAGGCACGCGGTGAGGGAGGAGCAGCCCATATGGGTTGCCCGGGGAATGCATTCTAATTCCCGCCTGCTGCCCTGGCTGGGCGCCACGGTGCCTTGGCCTGGTCAGGTGGGCAGCCCCGTCTGCTCTGGGAGAGGGAGTCCGCGGTGGTTTTGCTCCTTTGGTGCCTGTTGTTCCCACTAACTTTTATCCCGGGCTGTTGACCGCACCCCCAGGCTGAGGTAGCAGCTCACCCTTGCGGAAGGACCCAGGTCAGCCTGTCCAGCAGCCGCCGGTGCTCAGGGAGGCTGGGGACAGCTGGCTGCCTCCCTTCAGCACGTGTGCCCTCCCTGAGGCAGCAGGGCTCAGTGGCGGGGGTCATTCCTTGCATCCCGAGGTGCCACCACGCTGCTGCTGGTCCGCAGGCCCTGCCCTGTGGGGCCGCTGCCCTGGCACTCTGACTTGGAGCTCTCTGAGCACAGGGGGGCTGCTGCAGGGAGCTGGGAAGAAGGTCCCTTGGGGCTCCCCGGGACCACCTGGGTTCCAGGCTGTGGCTCGAGACCCAGCCCCGCACAGCCAGTTGGGGGCTCAGCTCGCTCACCCCGGCTGCCAAGGCTTTCCGGCCTTCCTGGTGCCGACACAGCTGAGCTTTGTGCCTGTCTGCTCTGGTGAGGCTGAAGGACGGGTTCTGCTCACACAGGGCTCTGTCACAGTGTCCTCAGTGTGTGGAATGTGGCAGCATGGACGTCACTTCTGCTGTTTTTGCTAGAATTCTCTCTCTCTCTCTTTTTTTTTTTTTTTTTTAAGAATTACTTCATTTATTTTATTTGACCAGAGAGAGAGAGACAAGAGTGAGAGAGCAAGCCCCCAGGTCTGGGACTTGAACCAGGGTCGGCCATGTGGGAGTCCAGCACCTTAACCACCACACCACCTGCTGGCCCCAGTCAGAACTATTCTACAGAGAAGAGCTTTCCTGGGTTGGCCTCATAGCTCAGTGGCCAAGAGAGCTAGATTCCACATTGCAGTTCAAAACTGGACTCTGGCAACGTGAAAAAAAAAAAAAAAAACACGCTTGGGGGCTGGCAGGTGGCGTGGTGGTTATGGCACTGAACTCCCACCTGGCCGACTTTGGTTCAGTCCTGGACCCGGCAGCTTGCTTTCTCACTTTCTCTCTCTCTCTCTCACACACACACACACACACACACACTCACTCTCACTCCTGCTCTGTCCTGGTCAAATTTTTAAAAATAATAATAATAAAGGTAAATAAAGTAATTATTTAAAAAACACATGCCAGGTTTGTGTGTGTGTGCCCAACTCCTGAGAGTGAAGAGAAGTGGGCCTCTGGAAGTGCTCACTCCATCTCTGTCTCTCTGGCAAGCATGTGTACCCTCTGGTGATTATAAAATAAATAAGTTTATTGGAACTTGTTTTAAAGCTCAAGATATGGTGTATCTCAGTAAACATACATGGTGGGTTTTTTTGTTTTGTTTTGTTTTTTTAATTGAGGGAGGTTTTTGCCTTAGGGTATGTGCACTTGCCAGAGAGAGAGAGAGAGAGAGACAGAGTCAGCGAGAGGGAAAGTGAGAAATCCCCCCCGGGTGGCCACGCTGCAGTCCCGTCTCCATTCTCCTCCTGGGATCTTGGATGCACAGGCACTCATACTCAGCATGATTCTGAAGCCACCGGGTCCAGGGCTTCAACTGTAGTCAGCCCTGTGGGAGTCCAGCAGCGTAGCTGCTGTGCCATCTGCTGTCCCCGTACATGGCGTTCTTAAAAAGAGTGTCCAGGCCCATCAGGTGCTGTGGTGGTTGAGGTGGCCGGATCCCACACGGCCACCTGCATGGTTCAAGTCCTGGACCTGGTTACTTGGAAAACATGCCAGGCATGTGTGCAAGACCCTGAGAGGAGGAGGAGAGAGGATTGTGGCGTGGTTACTCCCCAACCCCCGGGCTCAACTTTCTCTTTGTTTCTCTTTGTCTCCAGCAAGTACATGCATCCTATAGCAAAAAAAAAAAAAAAAGTAAAAAAAAATACTGTAATACAAAAATATTGTACAAAGTTATCACCAGGCTGTGTCTATAAGGTAGGTGTGAAGAGTAAATGCACTTCGTGTTTACACTCAGGTCCCGTCCCCAGGATTAGCTCACTGCATGCAAATGTTCCAAATATTCTAGAAACCAAACTCCAGAATGCTCTGGTCCCAAGCATTTCAGATAAGGGGACTAACTTGGATCCACTGTTGGGGTATTCTAAGTCTTTTCAGGAGAGACACAGGCCTCAAAATGGAATGTGAGGCTAGCAGGTGGCGTAGTGGTCAAGGCACTGGACTTCCACGTGGCTGACTGTGGTTCAAGTCCCAGCTCTCGTAGTTTAGCCTCATGCAGGGTGCACGTGTGCGTGTGTGCTCACCCAGAATCCCAGGAGGAGAGTAGAGGAGATTCCTTAAGTGGGACAGCAGTCTGTCCTCGCTGTCACCCTGCCGATAGCATCTGTGACGTTTCCTTAAGTGGGACAGCGGTCTGTCGTCCTCGCTGTCAGCTGGCAGGAGCTGCTCTGATCTCCTGTTTGCTTTGTGCCCTGGGCCCTGCCCGGCCGCCCCCAGCCCTTGAACACGTCCCAAACTCGGTCCGCTTGTGGAAAGCCGCTGTCGAGCTGGAAGAGCCGGAAGACGCGAGGATCATGCTCAGCCGGGCCGTGGAGTGCTGCCCCACCAGCGTGGAGGTCAGTGCCGCTCGGACCCGCCTGGAGCCTGTGAGAGCAGAAGGCTGAAGGAGCCCCAGGGTACCACTTCCTGAGTCGCCAGGCGGGTTGGTTGGTGTGGACGGAGGTGCCGGGTGGGAAGTGATGCTCTGTGGGCACACGCCCAGAAACCACTCCTTTTAACTCAGTGCAGCGTTTCTGCACAGGGGCCCGGAGGGGGCCGAGTGCTGAGGACATCGCAGCCCACCCCTCCATGCTCTGAGCTGGTGGGAGTTCTTCGTTTCTAGCCCAGTCTTGCTTTTGTGACACCCGGTGTGTCTGTAATTATCCAGAGGGTATTGTGAAATTCTCCAAACAAAATCAGCCTTATTTATAAAAAACATAAATAGAGCCCAGACACATGTTGGGGCGGAAGGTCAGCGCTGCAGAGTCAGCAGCACGGGAGCGGGGGAGCCTGCTGACTGGGTGCCGTCTGTCCTTCTGCGAGTGTGTGGTGTCGGAACCGGCACACTGCACTTACCAGTGCTTGGGCACTTGTCCAGCACCTCACCAGCTTTCCCCGTGTCTGGAGTCGCGGATGAGTCAGGCACACGAGGGAATAGCTGTCTGATGTGGAAGGCGGCTCGCACGCCGAGGGCTTTGTTTACGCCATCCTCGAGAGCGCTCAGAAACAACACTGGGTGGCCGAGGCGTGTCCGTCGGGGCACGTGGCCCTCCCAGCGAGCACACGTCCGTCTCTGCTCCATGTTCTGCAGCTCTGGCTGGCTCTGGCAAGGCTTGAGACCTATGAAAATGCCCGCAAGGTCTTGAACAAAGCACGTGAGAACATCCCCACTGACCGGCACATCTGGATCACGGCTGCCAAGCTGGAGGAAGCCAACGGGAACACGCAGATGGTGGAGAAGATCATCGACCGGGCCATCACCTCGCTGCGGGCCAACGGCGTGGAGATCAACCGGGAGCAGTGGATCCAGGTGGGCACGGGTGCTCATGGCAGTGCCCCGCACAGGCGACGGGGGCCCCACACTGTGGGGGCAGGCACAGGGCTCAGCCTTGCGGTCGGCCATGTGGGATCTGGTGCCTTTACCACCACTATACCTGCTGGCCCACACCCAGTGTGGTTTTCAAGCCACCAGGGCTGAGGATTCAAACTGCAGTTGGCCATGTGGGACCAGCCCCTTAACCACGAGACTACAGGACTGGGCCTCTGAAAGAGTATCTTTAGGGACCAGCAGTTGGCATAATAGCTATGTCACTGGACTCCCATGTAGTCGACCGTGGTTTGAGTCCCGGACCCGGTGGCTTAAACTCATGCTCGGCACATGTGCGTGCGTGCCAATGATCCTGAGAGAATGGAAGAGAAGGGATTATGGCGTGGCTATCCCCCCGGGGGGGGTGTGATTTCTCGCTTTCTGTCTCTGTCTCTTTCTGGCAAACGCACGTGCCCTATAGCAAAAACATCTCAAAAAAAAAAAAAAAAATGTATCTTTAGCGTTTCCTATAGTGCATTCTGCTGATAGAAACTCTGCTTTGTTATGTCTGGAAACAGTTTTTTCTTTGTTTTTGAAATATTTTTTTGCTAGGTATGCGATTCTAGGTTGATAGTGTTTTCTTGCAGTAATTTAAAGATGCCACATGCCCCCTCTGAGGAGCGGGGTCACCCTTCTCTGTGCCCTCTGTACACACCGTGCACTTGGAGGTCTCGGTTGCTTTTAAGAATATTTTTTGATTGCCAGAGTCACAGGAGCTTACCAACACCTCTCGAAGGGTCGTGGTCATGCCACACGCTTTCCCTGTTTCCCCGTTCACTCAGGACTTAGGGCGCACATGCACTCACATCAGGCTTTTCAAGCCTCCAGGGCTGGGATTCAAAGCTCCGTCAGATTTCTGTGTGCTGTGCTGAACTGCTATGGGCCTGCCCAAGGTGTTTCTCTTTTTCTTTTTTTTTTAAAATTATTTGATTATTTAATTTTTATTTATTATTACTTTATTATTCGCTATAGAGCACATGTGCTCACTAGAGAGAGAGAGACAGACAGAGAGAGAATGAGGGAAAGTGAAAAAGGAAGCCTCTAGGTCCAGGACTCGAACTGTGGTCAGCCATGTGGGAGTCTAGCACCCTAACCACCAGGCTACTTGCGGGCCCCAAGTGTTTTTCTGTTTGTCTTAGGCTTTTACCACAGGGTGAGTGTGCTTGCTGGAGAGAGGAAAAGTGAGCAAAACCCCGGAGTGGGTACCTGTGCCGCAGTCCTCCTCCTCAGACTGCAGTGGGGATGCGGGCGTGCATGCATACCATGGCATGATTTTCAAGCCACCGGGCCTGGGACGCAAACCCTAAGCTCGAGGAACCCAATGCCTCAGTGCCTTAACCACCATGTCAACTGCTGGCCTCCAATCTTTTTCTTTTTCTTTTTTTTTTTAGTTTTTGTCACAGGCCACATACACTCACGAGGGGGGGAGGGGGGATTCATTACCACACCGCAGTCCCTTCTCCATCCTCCTGGGTTTTTGAGTATGCAAACACACATGCCCAATGTGATTTTCAAGCTGCTGGGTCCGAGACTTGGAACTGTGGTCAGCCATGTGGGAGTCCGGTACCCTAACTACTATACTACCTGCTGGCCCTCAGCCTAAGATTTCCAAAAAAAATCACCCCTCAGGGATGGCCATGCCACAATCTCTTCTCTATTCTCCTCTTGGGATTTTGAGCACGCATGCACACATGCCTGGCATGTGTCCCACGCCACTGGGCCCAGGACTCGAACCATGGTTGGCCACATGGGAGTCCAGCACCTTAGCCACTACACCACCTGCTGGCCCCAAAAACATTTTTTAAAAACTTTTTTTTTGAAAAGTTTTTTTGCTATAGGGCGTGTGCACTCACTGGAAAGACAGAGACAGAAAGCGAGAAATCACCCCCCCAAGGGGATGACCATGCCGCCATCCCTTCTCCTCCATTCTCTTGGAATCTTGGGCACACATGTACACGCGCCTGGCGTGAGTTTAAGCCACCGGGTCCAGGACTCGAACTGTGGTCAACCACATGGGAGTTCAGCAACATAGTCATTACGCCAACTGCTGGTCCCAAAACTTTATTTCTTCTATGAGTTGAGAGAGAGTGAAATAGCCCCCCATCTGGGCCCAGGCCGTAACAGACCCCAGACGTGGCCAGTGGAGGACGCCTGTGGCTGTACACTCAGGACTGACAGCCTTCTGTGTCCCCTCCAGGATGCTGAGGAGTGTGACAGGGCAGGCAGTGTGGCCACCTGCCAGGCGGTCATGCGTGCCGTGATCGGCATTGGCATTGAGGAAGAGGACCGGAAGCACACCTGGATGGAGGACGCTGACAGTGTGAGTTGGGGGCCAGAGCGCTCGTCCCTGTGGGGAGTGGCAATGCCTAGACCATTGGCGACTCCATACGTGTTTTTAGATTGCCATAGGGAGACAGAGGGAAGGGGTAAGAAGTCTCTGCAATGTGGGATGCCACACTGCAGCCCCTTCTCCATTCTCCTCAGGATCTGGGCACACGTGCACACATGCCCAGCACGAGTTTCAAGTTGTCCTGAACATGAACCTTGCAGTTGGCCATGTGGAATCCAGTGCCTTAACCTCCATACCACCTACTGGCCCTCTATAGATTAAAAAGTAATATATTTATAACTTATTTATTTGTTTAAATAATTACTTAACTTTATTAATTATTATTATCAGAGAGGTTTTTGCTATGGGGTGCACGTGCTTGCCAGAGTGATAGAGAGAGACAGAGAGACAGGGATTGGGAAATCACCCCAGGGGGATGGCCACACTGCAGCTGCTTCCCCTTTATCCCCTCTCGGGATCTTGGGCACGCACATGCGCTCTGTCTGGGATCAAACCACAGTAGGGTGTGTGGAATCCAGAGACGTAACCATTACGCCATCTGCTGGTTCCTTATTATTAGTAACTTTTAATTTGACCAAAGAGGGGTCAGAGAAGGAAAGAGAAATCAAACCACCAGGTCCAGGACTTGAACTGTGGTCAGCTAAGTGGGAGTCCAGCTCCTTAAGTGCCATGCCACCTGCCAGCCCCTAACTTAGTTGTTAAATCACCAGAGGGCTGTGCGCTCACTGGAGAGATAGGACAGAGCACCTCCCCTAGTCCTTCCTCCATTGCTTCACCCTGTCGGGGCTTTGGGCACGTCAGCACAGGGCTTGGATTTGAGCCGCAGGCAGCCATGTGGGATCATGCTCCCTTAACAACTGGCCTTGGGACCAGGCTTAGTTGGCTGTGTAAAACCTGTGTGCACGCGTGTTTCCTTGTAAACCGACGTTTTGCTGTGCTGTGGTCCTCAGCCTTCTGTGTGGCCGGGGTACAGGCGTGTACTGCTGCACCGAGGTCTTTTTAAAATTATTATTAGATTTTTGCTGTAGGGCTCACCAGAGAGAGAAAGAGGAGAAGGGAGAAATCACCTACAGCGTGTCTCTTCTCCTCCTGGGATGTTGGGCATGTGTGTGCACATGCCTAGTATGACTCTCAAGCCACCAGGTCTAGGACTCAAGCTGCAACCAGATACGTGGAGTTAAGCTCTATGCCACCTGCTGACCCCAGCACCAAACTTTAGTGTGGGCTGGGAACCAAACCCCAGCCTTCTGTGTGGCCTCAGCTTGCCAAGTGGCAGCTCCCAGAGCCTTTCCATAGTTCTTGGCTAACACAAATGCATCGCAGGTCAGCTCTGTCTGCTCCCTCTCTCTGGGCATCTCAGGCCAGCTCTGTCCCCCCCTCCAGGCATCTCAGGCCTGTTCTGTCTCCCCTCCAGGCATCGCAGGCCAGCTCTGTCCCCCCACTCCAGGCATCGCAGGCCGGCTCTGTCCCCCCTCCACCGTCCCCCCCCCCCCAGGCATCGCAGGCCGGCTCTGTCCCCGCCTCCAGGCATCTCAGGCCAGTGTCCCCACTCCAGGCATCGCAGGCCGGCTCTGTCCCCCATCTCCGTTGCTCCTCCGTGAGCCCCAGTGGGCACACCTGGTCCCTGAAGAGGAATCACAGGGCTCTTCGTTTTCCTTCCCCCGCCCTGGCTGGCTGCACACCTGGGACCCTGGCCCAGCCTCCCCGGTCTGTTCCGCCATTCCCACAGGGCTGCAGTCAGAAGTCATGCAGGGGCTCAGCCAACTTGCTCTGCCTGGGCCTGCCCTCCCTGGCACCCTCCTCTGTCCCCTCTGGGC